ATGCTGTGGTAGACATATTATACCTCAGAGTAAAGGTTTCCATAACATACTAAATATGAGAAACCTTTACAGTTCTTATCACTGTGAATGCTGCTGTGCTAACTGGGAGAGTTTTATCTATTCGTATTTCTTCCTGTGTCAAGCAACACTGCACACTCTTTCAGACATTCGTCACTGAAATAAAAATGAAATTATGGCCTAGTGATAGCGTATTTGTTTGTGCCTCTTCAGCAGATCTTTGAGATGAGAATGTTTTTGAAACAAACTAAAAGGTGACACTGTTTCCAGCATTAAAGTGAAGGTTAATGGGTGGCCAGAGCACTGGAACAGGCTGCCCAGGGAAGTTATGGAGTCTCCTTCTCTGAGACACTCAAAACCCACCTAGATGTGTTCCTGCATAACTTGCTCTAGCTGACCCTGCCTTGGCAGGGTGGTTGGACTGGATGATCTCCAGAGGTCCCTTCCAACACTAACGATTCTGTGACTCTCTAAGATTGGGCCTGCTGGGTTCTCCAGCTGTAGGTAGCAGCTTAAGGCAGGTAGTTGAATAGTTCAGGATTTAAAGCAAAACAGAGTGAACTCCTTCAACTGCCTCGTGTTAAGACTGAGGGGCAGTGTTTGTAAGAAAATACCTGAATTAAATCATGTGCTGAGATGTGGACATATAAAAGCATAGACTTAGGGCTTCTTTTGGGAGGTATGGTATATCCAAGGGAGAGAGAGAGGCTTCATAAAACATATGTCCTCTGTCTTACATCGTTAGTAGGTCATTATATAACAAAACTGGTACTGAAACCAAAAGCAACTCTGAAACTATTTTATTGACTAAAATCGATAGCCTTTTTTCAGAAGGGAAGACAGGCGGTCAGCTTCGGTGGACTCACGGCAATCTGGGGAAAGCAGTAAGGATACTGAATGCACAAGGCACAGGAGAGACACCAGCAGGAGTCCAAGTAAACGAAGAAGGAGTCGCGAAAGAGGCAAAGACTCTCGGAGAAAAAGAGAGAGGTGAGCATAAATAGGGACAGCTGACTCCTGCTTCTGAATCAGGCAGCCACAACCACTGTCTGTGAGAATTTTGTGCAGAGAACAAGAATATCTAGTCCAGTAAACAAGCTAGGTTAACCTCACGTGCCGTATGTCAAGTCAGTGCATGAGGCTACTAACACTAAACAAAACATGCTGTGAGACCACAAACTGTGATCCAGACTTCAGAATCTGAAATCTCACATTTGAAAGGTGGCACTTCCAACAACGTGTTGCAGGACTAATACAGTACTGTCACAGACTATTTTACTCCATCAACACGGTTAAATGGACAGTATGTCCCTCATCCACAGCTAAGTGTGCTTGTCATGTCTAATGCTAATTACTGCTCTAGTTCGCACTGGAACTTAGTAAGTAGGATTATTTGTTTCACATACACATACACATACAAACACAGTGAGTTGACTAGCTTTTCTGTGGTAGGTGTTTCAAAACTGCTGTTGTTCTTCAGTATTTCTGGACATATTTTTAAGCAAAAGAAAACAAATCTAGGCCACATCTTCTAATACCATCAACAAGGATATATTTACATCTACAGGACCATAGGTGTGTAGGATCTGTGTTTAAGCAAAGACTCGGGCTGTTGTGCAGAAGAAATGCTGTACTGTCCCTAGCATGTACGGGTAAATGCTTATAGATAAGTGCATGGATTGCTATGATTGCTTCTATCAAAGCTGGCTTCATTACGCTGTGATGTCGTTCACCCTAAACTAACTGCCTCTCTGCACTGCATGACAAGGCTTTGATTAAAGCAACATGGGAAATAAACTGTCTTAAAGTAGCTTACTTTCTTTCATTAGCAGAGGACATGACTACATTTAATGAGAGCTTACCATTTTACAAGTTGTTTTTTTTCCCCTTCAGACTCTGAGACTAACAGCCCCACAATGTTTGTGTTTTTGTTTCAGGGATGAAGACAAGTATCACAGGCATAAAAGAAGAAAGTAGAAACAAGAACGTGATTATTTTGTTTGTCAGCTGTTCAAAAAATTACTTGCACGAGAACTGTTGCTACTGCTGTTGTGCTGAGGACAGTAACGCTGTGTACATGATACTGGTATTGCATCATAGCTGTGCTTTGAGACAAAAAAGTGTTAAGGTTTGCCAGAGTGGAAGCAGTATATAGCAGAAAATGTGTAAATCTGTAACATTCACGCATCTTTTAATAAATTATGTTGACTTTTCGTGTATTTGAGTTTAGCCTGACAAGACTGAAAAATAAAATCTGTGAGAGGCTGTACTAATTGGCCTTCCTGGCCCATAGTGGATACAGAACAGAGCTAATCCCTGGAGTCCAGGATCAGTTACAAACAGAAAAAGCATGAAAAGAGCTCCCCTCCTACCTAACACTCTGGGAACACTGTTCCAGACAGACAGCACTTATGCCTAACTACAGCATGTACCAGAGGGCGTATTTCAGAGTTCTTCAACAGGCTAAAACATCTTCAACTGCAGCTAGTGGTAAACTGACAATAACATGAAAGTTACTGTTCCCAAGCTCAAACTCAAAGAAATTTTGGATCAATGTCATCTGGCAAAGATGATGAGAATATAGCTCTCCACAGAAACTAGTGGGGAGGCACCAAGGACACTTGAAATATTGCTGAGTACCATATTCAAACACCAGGGGCATATCCATTTCCTTCCAGCAATAACTAGGAGGTATTCCCATCCTGTGGACTCTACAAATGGTAGTGATAGAAGTCGATAAAACAGACTTAAGCCGTGCATACATGTATTAACATATGTATTAAGGATGTGCAGTTCTGTTAATTCCTCACACACTCCAGCAAGGTCAGTCACCAGGAGCCAAGCTTCTTGCCTCAAGGAAGTCAGCAACTATAAAAGAACAAGCTTGCAGATCCATCTTTCCTACAATTTTTTTTCTGTTTGATCAAGGTGCTGGGAGAGGGCAGTCCATGTGCTCCTGGTTTTGGCCTTCTCAATCAAAAGGAATATCTCCGGTTTTATTGTAGCCACTAGTATCCTGTTTCATACCTCAGCTATTTCTGCAATTAAGTGTAATTATCTGGCACTAAATACATGGTCTAGTTCTAATGGATTTAGGCTTCTATACAGCAGTTCAACTCAAAACCAAACAACCCTGTGTCAGGTATTCCTTGCCTACATGACAAATGCAGTAGCTTTTCATGTTAGAGAATAGGACATATTCTAAAACAGATTCTTAATTAGACAAATTTATCTGAGAATGAAAAAAGATATCTAAGTTCTGAAAGGGTCCTAATTAGAAGGAAAACAATACAGAACAATTGCAGATTTTGAGGTGGTTTTGTTTAGCAGCTCAGCCATGGGGTTCTCATTAGGTTCTCTTTCAGTAGGGCTTGGTAAAACAGTTTATTTAAATAAAGGCTGTTCAGGCAAACAAGGTAGTCAAAAAAAAGCTGTATTTATGTAAGAGTCAAAGTCAGTGCTACCAGAAGCATAATGAGAAACACTTCAATTATAGCTGTCCAGTCTTCTCTAAATTTAATTCTTGTATTTTACTTCTTTTCTTACAATTGCTTACAAAGTATTGGTAAGAAGATCCATAACAAAATAACTTTTACTCAATATAAGCATGTAAGTGAAAGGATGGTCCCTAGGTGTAAGCATCAGTATTTGAGAGGCAGGAGAACAGTATAACCATGTAGTCAATTAACATCCCCTGAGGGGCCATTTCAAGAGTGGGACAAAGAAAAGGAAATGCCAACAAAGAGGATCGTGTTGTACTGAAATGTGCAAATTATGGTACTTTGAACACAAATTATTTTCTTGAACTTATTTATTCCTTTTTTTTTTCCCTCTCACCTCATACTGAACAGTAGGGTTGATTAATAAAATATGAAGGTCGGTGGCAGAAAGTGTCTGATCAGCACCATGCCAGATTGTTTGTCCCTGAAAAGGAATAAACCAAATGTTTTAGAACGGCACTTTAACATGGTAAATCCTAGTGTGTTGGACAAGATACAGTTTAGGGTTATATGAATTGCAAACAAAAGTGGTGTGATTAAAAAGTGGTTCTTCCTAAAAATTGTCAGTCTGGTAACTAATGATGAAACAGGCCATTTGTATGCTCGTGTTTTGGAGCTCCTATGTACTCGGAGCTGATAGCAATCTTAAGTGTACTGGGTCTGTGTGGCAAGGGGGTTTTTTGGGGGGGGTGGAGGCAGGGACTACAGTGGTGGCTTCTGTGAGCTTCTAACAGAGGCTTCTCCCCTGTTCGAGCCAATGCCAGCTGGCTCCAAGATGGACCTGCTGCTGGCCAAGGCCAAGCTCAACAGCAATGGTGGTAGTGCATCTGGGGGAACGTGTTTAAGAAGGGGAGGAAAAAAACTGCAACTGCATCTGGAGAAGAGAGGAGTGGGAATGCAAGAGCAACAGCACTGTAGACACCAAGGCCAGTGAGGAAGGAGAAGGAGGTGGTCCAGGCACTAGAGCAGAGATTCCCCTGCAGCCCGTGGCTCAGATCATGGTGAGGCAACTCTGTCCCTGCAGCCCTGGAGGTCCATGGGGGAGCAGAAATCCACCTGCTGCCCACAGAGGACACACCAGAGCAGGTGGATGCCTGAGGGAGACTGTGACCCCGTGGGAAGCTCACACTGGAGAGGGCTCCTGGCAGGATCTGTGTCACTGTGGAGAGAAGAGCTCATACTGGAGAAGGTTTGCCAGACTTGTGACCCCATGACGGACCCACACTAGAGCAGCCTGTTCCTGAAGGACTGCACCCCATGAAAGGGACCCTATGCTAGAGCAGTTTGTGAAGACCTGCATCCCATGGGAAGGATTCAAGTTGGAGAAGTTCCTGGAGGACTGTTTCCCATGGGAGGACCCCACACTGGAGCAGGGGAGGTGTGTGAGAAGTCCCTCCTCTGAGGAGGAAGGAGCAGAGACAATGTGTAATGAACTGACCACAGTCCCCATTCTCCATCCCCCTGTGCCACTGAAGTGGTGGGTGGGAGAGAAAATGGGGAGTGAATTTGAGGAGGAAAAAGGGAAGGGTTGGGGGAAGGTGTTTTAAGACTCATTTTTATGTCTTATTATCCTGCTCTGATTTGATTGGTAATAAATGAAACTGAATTCTCCAAGTTAAGTCTGTTTTGCCTGTGACAATAACTGGTGAGTGATGTCTCCCTGCCTGTACCTCGACCCAGAAGCCTTCCATATATTTTCTCTGTCCAGCTGAGGAGGGGAGTGACAAAGCAGCTTTGGAGGGCAGCTGGCATTCATCCAGAGTCAGCCCACCAGGCACAGAAAGACCAGTTCCAGATAGACGGTAGGAAGAGTAAGCGTCTGTACGCAAACATGCTACGTAGGCAGCACTTGGAGGACAAGCCCACTATGGGTCTTTTTAAATTGGTTAAAGTGCATTTTGTGTGACCCACGTGTGACTATAGATAAAATAAGAGAACTGCCAATCTCTCTCTCTCTCTGGTTTATGACCTATATTAAATCAAAAGAGCAGCCCATAAGATGCTGCTGGTTCCAGAACCAGTACTATACAGCTGATACATGCCTGTATCTAATTGCATCCTACAGGGAAAATTATACCACCAGACAGCGACTTCAGTATTTCAGAGAAAGATGGATAAATAACAATTTATCTTTTAGCAGTTCAAACAATGAAGCTGACAAAAAATAACTGTGTACACTTTTGATATAATCTTAGTCAACAGTTATTTTTGTCATCATGGCTATGCTATGTCTGTCTGAAGACAGAGTATTCACTTGAAATTAAAGGTTTATGGAGAACCCAGAGGTGACCAATACATTAAAATTCCATGCACAGATTTCTACTTACGCTTCTTCTTTAATTTTGTGGAGGAATGCTTCAGTTTCATCCTCTGGTATCTCTCCGTCAATACTGGCCAAATACAAATAAAGGAACGAGAATGTTTCAAAGGGAATTGGAGCTGCTCCACCTTCTGGCTCACTTGTTAAGATTTCGCAGGCATGTTTCATCGAACTCAGTAAGGACTGCAGGGGGTTAAGTCAAGAAGCGAGAGGAAAAGTATCAGAGCCATGAACACCCTTTGCATACTACGACAAAATCCACACTGTTAGCCACTAAAAGTGAGGGTAAATGAGATGAAGGTGTTATCATCATTATCTAGCTTTAAACCCCAAAGTTACCCTCCAGTGCAGGTCAAATGGTAGAAACAATCATGAAGTTCTACTAGGGACAGTAGCAAAAAATACCAGAATCCTGTGATGTTTAAAGATTGCATGAGGTAATATGATCCCTATCTCCAACGTGGCCAAATTGCTCTGTTCTGCTACTGTAAGAGCTCGAACATCACTATATCTAGGGATAGACATGTGTGTGTGTGTGTATATTTATTATCTCAATGGTTCTAAATGAGTTTTCAGCAGAAGTTAAGACAGATAAATCTACAAACCCCAGAAAATGAACATGGGTTTGGTGATTTTTATTCTGACATTATATCATATAATTTTTAGATAATATTTTAGCTGATATTTACTGTTTCCTCTACCTGTATGCAAGTTCTACTTTAATAGTTAGTAGAAAAAACATTGAGGCAAAAAGCATTTAAAGAACATTTCAGTTCAGTCAAAGGGCAATAACATCCGAGTTACCTTAAAAAAACCCCATGCCACAAATTATTTTCCAAATACACTTTGAAAAAAATCCTTTATTTAATATGGTGTTGATAATCCAGTGCCCTATACATGCTGAGCTATATGGGGAAAAATGTGGAAAAATTAAGCACACATTCAGTTGACTGGTTGGATGCCATTAAAGAAAGAAATAAACAAACACACACCAAACCAAAAAAAAACACCAAAAAACCCCTCAAAACCACTCAGGCCTTTTTTAACACAAGTGGTAATATTCTTTGCTGTAACATTTTCAAAACTCACCCTTACCTTTCCATTAACAAGCAAGCAATGACTATGTAAAAAGATAGTATTTTCTAACACTAGACTAGCAATACTTAAAATAAATGCAATATCTGTTTAAGATCTAGAACCGAGGCCAGAGAAGTGTAATTTTATAATCCTTTAACAGTTTCACTTAATGTATTTCATCCCCTAGGAGGCCTCTCTGTGGAAGGAGAGGCAGCTGCTTCTATGATGGCAGAGTTTACCTTCTGCATTTTGCTACCTCGCTACTGCCCTTCCTGCCACTGTCTCTCTCTCACACAACACAGCAAAATTATTCACATCCATTTAGGCACCTTTGAAAGACTATTTAACAGGCTACCTGTGTGGTCATTTCCTCAAGGCTGTAAAAACACATCAGTGTTTACTTTATAAAAAGTAAAACTACAAGATCATGTCAGGAAGGAGATTGGAATGAAGAAATACACAGTTGAAATAAGTAAATATAAATAGATATATACATACACAATTGCATTGCCAGGCCAGGTCAACATTCAGGGTTTCCAGATATTGCAACAATCTCAAAATATTATTTTGTATGTATTTTCTTTTTAATACCTCTTCTTCCCTACTGTAGAAATCACTAAAAGTATTATAGTTTATAAGAACATCAGCTTAGTGCATTTTATAGTCTTCCATTCTGTTGAAATGCTCTGCTGAGATATTATTACTGACATTAAAAGAACTAAATGTAAATTTAGTAACATTAACTGCTGCTGTGAAAATTTAATTGACTACACAATCAATTAAAAATTGGTGCTTTAATTTCTCACTCCAGTTCTCCTCCATGGACATTTATACTGATGCCATCAGCATCATTCCTCTATCATCCTCTCTCTCATGGTACAAGCTCCCCGCAGACATTCTTGCTGTTCTACTGCCATCCCAGTCAACTGAGGACTTAGCCATCTTTCTGTTTAAATTCCCCCGATTAAAATCTGACAGAGAACAGAAGTAAACATGCAAGCCACTTTGCCAGCTGCTGCAACAGCAATCACAATTTCCCAAATCCATTTGCAGTAATTGTTCTATGACCTTATATATGATCACAGACAACCATCTGTGTTTAGATACAAGAGCTCCTGTTGTCAACATACCCCACCGAGCACGCTGCACCCAAGTGCCAGAATCTTCATCCATTCCACCTCCTCGCCAAAATTGTCCAGTTGCAGGATAGATTTCAGCTGCTCTTCTGGCAAACACAAGTGCTTCCATTTTTCCTTTAGTTCTGTAACAGTTACCATGCCTTTGGGAGAAAGCTTTAAACGAAATCATGGTACCACAATAAGAACTCTGAAAACCAGAATGAATCAAAGAACAGAGTAGTTCCCCAAAATACATCAAACACTTGAAGGTCAGTCTACCCAATCACCTTCAACACATCAGCATTCCTCAGTAGCATTGTGCATTTGATAGAGGCCAGTTTGTACCTTTTTGTGCAAGACTTTGAGGAGTCCAGGAGTCAAACCACCTTCTATTTCCCCTGTTGCTGAAGGAATTTCAATCCTCTCCTTCACAGGAAGGGGCTCCCCCTTTGACAAGGCTGAAAAATACCTAAGTGAATGGGAAGAGCAACACACCTCAATGCTAAAGGCCATTACAAACTCCATAGAAGTAAATGCTCTTACAGGTCAGTGAAAGAACCCACAAGCTCCTGAGCAGGAGCAGCAGCTCAGCAAGCTGCCCCCACACACAATTCCCATCTCCCCAAGCTCAGATAGCATCTTTCTTTCTAGCAGAAACCACAATCTTTCGATTTTTACATGCTCCTTTTTATGACATTCTAATAATTCTTAAAGCATTTAACTTATTTTGTGCATGATACACCCAGTTCTTCTTGGCAAAGGCAGAGAGTGATTTATTAACATCACAGTGTGCTTCCAAACCAAACGCAGGCTTTTCCCATTTGACTGAGGAGCACTTGACTGCTCAGCTGTTTAACATTCCCCTCAAACACTACCCAAAATGCTGCAGCTCTCTCATCAATATTTCTACTATTTCTGTCCACTCCAAAATAAAATTTAGGAATAGAGCAGAAAGGGCATTAGATGCACATTCTTTTGATTATAAGGCTGACACATCCTCAACAGCAGCCACCTCTGCCATAACTGGCCAGCAATCTGAACTGTGCAAGGAAAACTCAGTTTTCATTCAGGCAGTGATGGGTCTAATTTAGGAGTTTCTCCACTCATCCTGCCTCATCTGCCCTGGTCACCCACCAGGCTACCCCATGCTGTGCAAATACTTGCCAAAATGCACAGCAAGCAGCACTGCATTGGTGTGACTGTGTAGAAATAGATGCATGGTATGTGCGTAGATACAACACTTGGGCTACTTTTCAGCCTGATCCATTTCCCCATCTGATTATTCACAAGGACAAGCCTACAACACTGGCAGCACATGTGAACCCACAGCCTTGCTCTGCCTTGTGTGGCTCCCAGGCACGGATCTTGCTCTGCTCACCACAGAGGCACTTTTCCCTGAAAGGAAAAGAAGAAACCTAACAAGTGTAAGAATTAGAAAGTTATTTTCTAGGTTGCCTTTAAATGTCAAGAATTAAATCTCACATGAGAGGGAAAAAACCAATAATAATAACAAAACCAAAATAAGATGCATTTTCCTGGATGGAAATCAAACTATTCCAGGAATAAGCCAGTCCTAAGCCTCAAAGAAGCAGAAAATAAATCAAGTACTACACTATGTTTAAAAGGCTCTCATACCACATTAATACAAAGCAGCGTGTATGGAATATACATGTTGATGTAATATTCAAAGTCAGCTCCCCTGTACAGTAAACAGGAGCAGTGAGACTTTGTGGGTCCCCTGTTGTTCTTTGAACATCATACTTACGCAGCTGCCCACTGCAAAACATCACGAGGTTGAGTCCTAATAGCAGCTTTAGTAAATTGCTTCAGAATGTCAGGTAGCTCCGGGGGGATTTTGATCTGCTGAGCACAAAACATGGTTTCTGGAAGAGGCATGGTCGGTTTCTGTTCAGTCACAAGGACCTGAAAGAAATAAAACAGCAGTTCACAGACACAGAACGTGAATGAAAAACCGTGTGTGCACTTGTGGGTGAACAGTGCTTATCCCCAAACTCCCTCCTGTCCTACCTGACAGCTGGGGTTACTGGAGAGGTGACAGACTTAGAAGGGTCTGCGTCTGTCAGAGGAGCACTGCATTTCTCTAAAACACTTTAATTTGGTGGCAACACCAAGTAAAACACTGGAGCTTGGACACCAACAACAGCTCTGGATGAGGAGAACTACTACTTTAACGGGTATCTTTAGGTAGTTTCTCCCCAAACCTACCACAATACAAATTTGTAAAACAGGCAGTGCAGACAAGTCACACCACACATGCCAGTGTGAAAGCTAGCTATGCTGACAACTCACTACTGCGCACCGAGGAGAATCTTGTCATTTTTGTACAGAAGCCAGAGTATGCAGATGACCAAGTTTCTACTGTGTTTATGTACTCCAAAAATGTTGTAGCGAAAAGCTACTAATTCGTGCTTCTGGCAGACTTCACACAAAAAAACTGCAGCAATGAACAAAACATTCACGTGCGCTGCAACAACACACTGCACTTTGCTTATACAGTTCTACAGCTATGTTTGTCTCATTCAGGATGTAACTCATTTGTTGCAAGGAATTCTGTTGCCCAGGATCCAAAAGAAGGGAAAGAGATAGGTTATTGTGTGGTACTTCTCCCATTGAAATGGAGCACATTTGGTGGGAAATCTGAGTACTCTCCTCATCATTTCAAGAACAAACTATACCCCATTCAAGTTGATTTGGCAACAAGAACTGAAAACATATTGGTTATTTGCAGAGGAGAAGAGCAATGAAAGCAACAGCATCAAGAAAGGAATCGACATAACAGCATCCTCTATCCCTTTACATTATTTTAATTTTTTAGATAAAAATACCTGACATGTGGCTTTCTCTCCCTATCATGTGAATTTTCCTGCATTGGAAAAAAAAAAATTAAAAGTCAGTGATAGAGGAATGGGACTGCTGTGACCCAAGGCTCCTTTGAGGATCAAACCATACTTAGAACCTTATTTCTGGAGAAATGCAGACAGAGCACAGCATCTTCATCACTCCAACGCAGCAAATTTGTATCAGGGATAGACTTCAGAGAGTGCATTTAATTACCTTATTGGTCACACACGTTTAGTAATGATTCAAAACCACAGCTCTAGCCAAGGAATTGAAGCTGAACGCAAAAATTTGAGGATTTCAGGATAACAGAAAAATCTAGAGGAAGGAATACACGTGTGTGTGTATGCCCCCTTGGGAAACAGTCAAATAAAAGAGTAAAAACAAAATCAGGAAACAAAAAAAGGAAGGAGTGCAAAGGCTGCTTTTCTACAGTAAGCCATTAATCATAGAGTCTCACAGAAGGGTTGAGGTTGGTAGGGACCTCTTAGAAGTTACCTGGTCAGACCCCCTGCTCAAGTTGGGCCACCTACGAAGAGACTGCCAAGAACCATGTCCAGGTGGGTTTTGAACATCGCTATGGATGGAGACTCCACCCCTCCCTGGGCAACCTGTGCCAGTGCTCAGTCATCCTTACAGTGAAAAAGGGTTTCTTGATGTTCAGAAGGAACCTCCTGTACATACACACACAGCCAGGTCAGGCAGTCTCTACACCCCTTCACCATCGGTGCACGGCAGGGGGTTACTCTCGCTAAACACAAAGCTCAGCTCATGTCTTTCACCCCCTATTAGCTCTTATTTTCTATTTTTTTTTCCTTTCACGAACTCAAAACCAGCCCCAGGAGTTCAAGGCCGACAAGCAGCCGCAAACAGGCCGGCCTTGCCGCGCCGCGGGGCCCGCCGCCCCCCAGCCCCGAGCTGTGGGGAGGGAGCGCCGGAGGAGGCGCTCGGAGAGCTCTGGGAGCCCAACCCCGTCCCCGGGCACCGCCGCGGCATTGGCGGCCCCGGCCGAGCCGTCCGGGACGGCTCCCCCCGCCCCGCCGGTGCTGCCCCGAGGCTCGGGGGAGAGCCGGGCACGGCCCCTCACCTGCCCCGCTCCGCGGCCCCGCTGCCCGGGCAACGCGGGGGTAGCGGCCGGGGCGGGCGGGAGGCCGGGGAGCTGAGCAGGGGAAGGCGGGGGCCGGGCGGGGAGAGAGGGTTGGTGCCTCCGCGGTTTAAAGTGCAAGACCATCCCGTTTTGTTCAAACTTGTGAAAAGACACGAGACATGGATGATGTCTACCATTAGCAAATTCGCGGATGACACCGAGTTGGGTCGGAGTGTTGATCTGCTGGAGGGTAGGAAGGCTCTGCAGAGGGACCTGGGCAGGCTGGATCAGTGGGCCAAGAACAATGCCATGATGTTCAACAAGACCAAGTGCCAGGTCCTACGCTTTGGCCACAAAAACCCCATGCAGTGCTACGGGCTGGGGTGGGGGCACAGTGACTGGAAAGCTGCCCAGCAGAAAAGGACGTGGAGGTGCTTCTCAACAGCGACTGAACTCGAGGCAGCAGTGTGCCCAGGTGGGCAAGAAGGCCAGTGGCATCCTGGCCTGTATCAGAAATAGCGTGGCCAGCAGGACCAAGGAAGTGATTCTTCCCCTGTACTCAGCACTAGTTAGGCCACAGCTTGAATAGTGTTCAGTTCTGGGCCCTCAAGTCAGGAGTTAGTCTGGAGAGGGGCAATGAAGCGGGTGATGGGTCTGGAGTGCATGTCCTAGGAGGAGTGGTTGTTTAGCCTGGGGTGACATTATTGCTCTCTAAAAACTACCCGCAACAGGGTTGTAGCCAGGTGGGGGTTGGTCTCTTCTCCCAGGCAACCTGCGACAGGATGAGAGGACATGGTCTTAAAGCTGTGCCAGGGGACGTTCAGGTTGGACATTAGGAAGAATGTCTTCAGAGAATTGGTGATTAGATGTTGGAATGGGCTGCCCAGGGAGGTGGTGGAGTCTGCATCACCAGCAGAGCCCACAGTGGGATGGCTGGTTCCTGGGTGCCTGGGCTCCCTGCAGCCCACTGATGCATGACCCATGGCCATGAGGATGCACTGCCAGGTGAGCAGTTAGGGTGGCATGTCCATCCTGCCTTTAGCACTCTTATACTTCCTTTCCCAGCTTGGATGAGATGTGAACAAATGCTGAATGAGCTGAAAAGTAGACTTAGAGCAATGAATCCCCTAAAATTCCCGTTACTTGCAGTAGCTGCTACTTTCAAGGGCAGCTCAGCCACAAGCAACCTCTGCTGCTGGGCAGCCTCCGCGGTCCCAGACATTCCAGACAGCAGCACTGCAGAAGGTCTGCCACCACAGAGAGCAGCATGTCCAGTGCCAGTGGCTTCTCAGCACCCGCTGCTCCAAATATGGCACCACAAGGCAGCATGGGTTCTCCCACCACTTCAGAACTCCAAGGATTCAGTGCCCTCTCTGCCTCCAAGTCTTGGTTGCCAGCTACAAGACCTATTTCCACTGCACAAAAAGACAGCACCGGAGGTAACCTGAGTGGCATCCTCTGTAAAGACACTAGTGCATCTCTTGGTTATAAAGCAATGCCCCTCCTGTTCCTTTTAACGTGGGCTGTAAGTAGCCTGAGCACTCAAATTAACTTGGTAATAGGATTATTCACTTCAGAAAGCCTTCAGAAGCCATTGCTCTAAAGAGACTTGGGTGCTCCGTGCTTGAAACAGGCCAAACAGTTACTGCAGAAGCACACAATCTTATTTGAAGCAAGTCCTTTTTAATCCACATTATGTCCCCACTGATGAACATGTAAGGCCATGCAGGACAAAGAAAAACATGCAGCAAACATTATCCTGCAGGAGTTTACAGAGTGGAATTAAATTAAGCTCATTGCACAATGCAGTTTTTCAAAGGTATCTAGGGATAACAGATAAACAGCAAAAATTTCATATTCTCTGTCATCTGCAGTTCTTGGACACACTTGGAACTATCCTAAAAATGCTCAAAAAGTAAATGTCATATCCTCAGTTCTTCCAGTGATTTGGTCCAGTGCAGTGAAATCATGCATAAAGCTGCCATACTGTATTATGGGAAACAGTAGCATGTAGGTGGAAATTTTCCTGTGAGTATTTAAAGAAAAACTCTGTATTTTTCAAACATGTTATTTTATATGAATTGCAAACCAGTGGAAAAAGCCAAAGGCTAAAACTTCCATATAAAAGTGAAAAAATAACTGGAAAATAGGTTACCAATTAATCACATGCTGCTCCAGAACATGCTTCATCTATAAAGGCATGGCCAAATTAATCTTTGTATAAATGCTTACATGTAACAAAAATTAACAAGACATACTGCATCAAGTAACAAGCAAAACTCTAGGCAATACAGTCCTTGCTCTTTGCAGAAAGAGGAGCATGGGCACTGCTCTCCTCTCTTCCTTGACCCCAACCATCATATATTTAACTACAGGGGGAGGATGGATGGGATAAAACAGGATGGGATGGAGGGGACTGCAAAAAACCCCTGGAGTTACATGAGTTATGACCATCCTTACCATGCAGCCTCCTGACTTATAAGCAGTACCAGATATACTGCAGATTTTCTACTCATTAGTCCTGTGTTAATGGTGCAGAAAGAATGCATAATTATACACGTTGGCTTAAGTTTGGCATACTGGGATGGTATTCCTTTTAAGAAGTCATTTATACTTTTGGGAACTCATTTTTAGCTAAAGGTAGCATGCTTTTCACATGTAATTACACTAAAACATCTAAAGATCATTGTAACTTGTGGATGTAAAAGGAAGAAGACTAAACCAGCATAACAAAGAGTGGAATAACCTCCAAGATAATTGGTAAGTAAAAACAAGATCAAGAGGTAGGTGAGGGAGGGATGCTTCATCTTCAGTTTTGAGGGTTAGTGGTGTGACAAGAGATGTTAATTATCTGCAGATTAATGCAAGGTTGTTTAAGGAAACTGAGGATTACAAAGATCAGTACCATGGCTGTGGGGTCAACAAAACCCTTTCAACAAGGAACAAAAAAAAATAAATCTCAAAGGCACAGTGAGAAGGACACTGATGGGTCCGGTTGAGAATCTTGGCACAAAGCTATAAAGGAAGTAAGGCCTAGTTTCTGTTAAGAAAAAGTTGATCAAACTCCATGAAGATATAGGCAATAAAAACATAAGTGTAACTTCAGTGAAAGGAGAAACTCAGATTCTTGCTATACACTGAGTACTTCCCTCCCATGCATTTTACCCATTACTCTTACACAAAGAGCATTTAAAAGTATATCCATGGACGTAATTGTTCTTTTACAGCAGCATTGCCTAATTTTGGCTTAGAAATCCTGCTGCTGCTTCCTGCTTCCGTGCCTCCTGCTCACAACTAGTCAAAATATCCCATTGTCCTGGTTCTGGCCAAGACAGGGTTAATTTTTGCAGTAGCCAGGAGAGGGCACGGCTAGGACCCGGGAGGTTTACCTTTTGTGCCTCCAACTCTCCCCTCCAGCCGGTTGCAGGAGAGAAGGTGGAGGGGGGAATGAGCGAGCACTGCTCGCTCTGCTCGGAGTGGTTGGAGAATACCATTCCTAAACCACGACACCCATGTACACTCCATTCTAATCCAGCAGTATTTTTAGATTCAGCAGATTCCTTATTGGACTTCAGCAAGCCACTTATGCAATTTGCATCTGCTGAACATGGCAAACCAGTGCTGCTCGGCCCTATTTGGGTTCTAATACAGAAATTCTATCCAGTATAAATAAATTAGCTTTGCAGTGTTCTCTACTTTTAAAAGCAACAAGGAATTCTGTTCTCTCTAGTCTTACTTTCCAGGAACACAAATGGCCCTTGAAAGCCAAGTGATTTTGTGATGAATCAGACAAGTAATGTTAAGTACCACCCCCTTCTCCCCCACCGGATATCAGACAACTCCAGATGTTTGATATCTCTTCATGGGGGGTGGGTGGGAAATGCCTATGCAGCTTTGGCATTGGCCACTACTCAATAGGCAAGAGATAACTGCAGGTAAGTAGATAAGCAGAAAAACTGATGTTCAGAGTTGTGAAATAATCTTGCCCTTCCCCCATCCCTCAGTACTATCCTGAATTTAAAACATTTAGTTTATTTTGGATCGGCATTTGACCTTTGGAAATACAATCTTTTAAAATTTTCCATTACTGAGTAACTTTGATTTCAGCATATCATTTCTCAATTTATGGTGACTTCTAAATGAAGAAATTAATACCAGAAGCATAGCTTGTGGAATAACCATAAAAAAAAATTGTTGCTAGCTATGAAATTCTTTAGTTTCAATTAATCTAATTAAGAAATACCAGAGTAAGACAGCTCTAACTTACTATTATACTTTGTAAAAGTTTTTTCCTTCTCTGTTTCAGAAGACAGCTTCCTTTATTTTGCATCCTGAACTTCATTATACTACCAAGATTCAGTTCCTTGTTTAATGTTTTTATTATCTGCATAATCATTTCTGCTAAGAGCCTCACTCATTGCCCAGGCAATTCCATTGCCATTCCCAAGGCAAGCAGAACAAGAACACTGACCCTGCCACAAAGAATTTCCAATCTATATGTAAACAAACTGACAGTGAAGTCCAAGGAAATAAAATGACACTGATCAGCATGGCAGGCAGTGAAATCAACAAACCACCCATTTGTGCACTGTAAGGTATTTTTTACAGAGTTCTCTGCAGAATAGTGGGGCTGCTGTGCAGACTTTTATGATGATCTTGACTCAGTCTTAGGGAGAGGCAAGGAAAGAATTAATACACTCAGCTGAAAAGTGATGTGAATACTGTAATTATGT